GTAGTCAGTCCAGTCAATATTCTCAATCAATACCATAATAACTCCTTCTCCCTGTGGACGCTCAGAGCCTCGCACCAGACCAAGTTCAATTGTTTGTTCTGTGTGTCTTTCATCACCTGTCAACTGAGCCACAAGTCCCACGATAACGCTATCTCTGCCAGATGGAGCTACATGAGAGCGTGTGTGTGTGCTGTGTGTGTATGTTGGTGTGTACAATGTGAATGTGTGTGATCATACCAGAGATGAACGACCTCAAACTGGCCTTTTGTCTCCATCCTGCTGCACCGCTGCATCTGTACCGATGACCCGCCCTGCTTAATTACATTGTTAATGACTCATCCTCGTTAATGATGTTTGCCGTCTCATGAGCAAAGAAATTAGCCAAAAGGGGGAGCTAAAAATTTGGAAGGGTGAGGGAGGGCGATGGAAGGGAGGGAAGGTTAGACAAAGGCTGAGAGAAAGGTAGAAATAAACGAAGGTTGGAGGGCTGTGGAGAAGGAGAAGGGAGACAAAGTTATAAAGTAAAGCGTGGATTATTTTTAGTTTTTTTAAAGACACATGAGGAAATGCTTAGTAAAGGACACTTTTCTAGATACATTTCTTCCTGTCTTTTCTGGACATTATTAGGACATACATCCTTATTGGTTATAATCATTTTCATGTCACATTTCAAATGCTGCCATTCATTCAACATCAGTTAACTGACAATACAATAACTGCAATATTAGCCGAACAATAGCCAGTGTTATTACGTATAATCCAAATAAAACAAGAAATGCAGTCAAATTTAAAAAAAAAGGTGAATTTAAAGGTGCATTTGTTTTATGGCAGATGAACAAAAATTGAATTCATTAAATACAAAGAAAAATAGTTGTAGTAATTTATTTGTATCCGCCTCTTCATTCTCCCCACCATCAATCTGTCATTTGCAGCCCTAACCAGCTCTGAGTGCATGTGCATGCTATCTAATTCTTCTTCTACTAATGAGATGTATCTGGTTATAAATGGGCAAATGAACAGATGTTAGGAAAATATGGTTAGAAGGGTAGCCATGTCCTTTAGTACAACAGAGGATAAGGGCTGTCACTCTTTTAACAAATCAAGCTTGTACAGGGCTTTCAAACTAAAAGCACAAGTTTGAAATCAGGTGGAGAAAAGCTGTTATTTCAAAAGAGGAGAAAGGAAGTACCTTTTAGTGCAGCTTTCCTAGTCAAGACCTGCACTGGAATTAAGTAGACATTCAAGAAAATGAAAGCTACTGTACTAAATGGCATTTAACAAAGTTAGCAAACATTTGTTAGCATTACCTTTGTCTAATTTTTCAGTATAAGGGTTGAAGATAAAAAAGGCCTCTACACACTTCAGTACAAGGCAGGGCTAGTTGTGCTCATACACTGTACATTTTAAAATGCAATGGATCATAACAAACCAAATATTAAATGTATGTTTTATTTTGATTAGAAATTTACACTCTTTTGATGTAATTTTCTTCCATTATTTTGAATGTAGTATCACCTCCTCACAAGTTAGTTTTGGGAGAATCTGTTACAACCAGCTAGCTTACTGAGCTCTAAATTCAGTGTCTGATTTGTATCATGGTTTGCTCTGGAAGCGGCTAAAAGTCACTAGCTTCATTCCCTTTTATAGGTAAGATAGAAGCAGTAAGAGTAAGAAAGACAGTTGAGCGGGAAGATGAAGAAAAGCAGTGAAGGGGAAAGATGAGGAGAGAGATGAAACAATAAATCTGAAGTTCAGCAAAGGATGCGCTCTGAGGACCTAAAAAGTTCTGTGGAACAAAAAGTATGTATTTCCCCTGAGAGGCAGGCACAGCTTAGAGAGAGAGAGTAAAAGCAAGACGATTTTAAATTCTTTGGACCACTTATTTTTGGAAAAGTTCAATCAAACCCTGGAGTGTTTGCACCGAAGGTTTAAAATTGTTAGGGGAGCCAAACACATCAGTGTGACTCAGATGTGGTCTAAACAAGCACTTCTTGGTCAGCCTTTGGGAGCGCTGTAAATAGCCCGATTCTTACTAAAGCCTGGGGTGGTTCAATTGGAGGAGGACCAAACGGGAAGGGACCATACTTGCCAACCTTGAGACCTCAGAAATCGGGAGCATTTCAAAACCACCGCGGGGTGGGGGGGGGGGGGAGCTGTATTAGATTAACATTAACATGCTTATTGTTGTTGTAAGGGCACGGCCTGTAGCACCATCCTTTATGGAGCATATGTGAAGGACAGGAGTGAGCAGAGGGTAGAGTTGTCGATTCTTGTTCTGTTTTCTGTGACTATTTTCCCCACCCTCTCAGACTTTCAGTTGCGCGCGCTACTAAAGAGACGCGCTACCATGGAAACCAAACAATGGTGTAGCTGTATTAAAGTCCGAGTGGAAACAGTCCTGAGTAAATCTGATTTAGTCAGAAATCGGGAGAAATGCGGGAGAAATATGACCCCGGGAGGAAACCGGGAGAGGGCAATGAAATCGGGAGTCTCCCGCGAAAATCGGGAGGGTTGGCAAGTATGGAAGGGACTTGTGTGTTGACAGGAGCAGATTGGCTTTGTATTGTTGGCTGTTTTCTAACGCTCAGATTCAGAGTAGATCCATACAAGTTTTGGATTGAAACAAATCAATTTAAAGCTAAACTTTGCTGAACAAGGCACCTTTTGCCACAATGACATGTTAGTAGAGTGTAGAAGAGTCAAACAGTCAAACCAACTCAATAATGTGTTATAAAAAGCATTGTACCTCTGCTAACATTAGCCAACATAAGCTACCTGATTCCCCGTCAAGGTAGAATCAGGTAAGTACTTTTTTTATTTATAAGAGTAAGATTACAATATTTTGTTTTTCAAAAGTTACTCACTGTTCTTCGGTTTTTGTCTCGAGGCCCACAAACATCAAATCAATTTGAAAGAACTACCGACTGCACCAAATAGGTGCACTTGAACACAGCACGCAATTTGCACATATTTTCCGCAGCAGTACTGTATACTGTATTTAGCATTCAAAAAGGGAAACTGGATGTCTTAGATTGCAGATATAAAAGCTGTTATGATACAGACATTAAAACAGAACAGCGTTAGCAAACACCTTCACACCACTCTCGCTAACAACTTAGCTTCCTTAAAGATGTCGTAGAAATATCAGAGAATTGGAATGATGTGAACAGAACATCTGAGTGTGACCTCTTGATTTGATCTGTTTTGTTGTTTTTCTCACTTCCGTTCTCTTCACATGCTCTGATTCCTTTGAGCTGAACAGATTCATTTCTGTTACCGACGGGTTTCTTCAACATCCCATGTATTGTGCCAGCTGTGAGTTCAACTTCCATTGCAACACATCGTGTAGCTCTACAACACAGCGCGTGTTCCAGGTTGATGAGCACATTTTGATTGCATATTCAGTGACTAGATATAGCACATTCTCAGACATGGAATAATAATGTCCTTGTTTCCATGCCAGGGCAGGATTGTTTGCCGCAATTGTTTCGGCTCCCCATGGGGGCCTGAAGGGAGCCCGGGGAGAGTTAGGACTTTGACATGACTCTGCAAGGAGATCTGAAGGACAGGACATGTGTCCCGACAGTCATTAGGCTGCCTCTGCCCCCACTCACACTCCTCTTCTATAACTGTCTCACAGAAGTCTCCTCCCCAATCACAGAGGTCCCTCTCGTTCTCTCTGGCTTCTCCCTGTTTCTCCCACTGCATGCTAGATAAATGTTGTCCTCTGTCTCCGTCTCTCCCCTTTCCTTTCTCCCTCAACCCTCTCTGACCCTTACAGGATGTGTCATGGATGACTGATGGTCCGGCTCCATCCCCAGGCCCAGTCAGCCCTAATAAAAATAATAAACTCATATTACATTCATTCCTATGAGAATATCGGCGCAAGAACAGAGGAGGGAGCAAATACTTTGAAGGTTACGAGTTAAAGAAACCTGACGGTAAATGAGTCGAGACGGCACAACAAGTATGGAGGGATTATAGCACAGGGGGAGAAAACGATAAATGATGAAGACAAGATAGAAAGTGATGACTCTAGGAGGAGTGATACATTTTCTGAGGACTCCTTCAGGGTATTGTGTTGGCATCAGGCCCCTGGCATGGCAGATTACTAGTGGCTGCTTCAAGGTCTTTCTTCTCACTCTCTATGTCTCTCAGACAGGAAATGCTTTGACATTTTTGGAAATCATATCTAATGAAAGTTATATAAGAAAGTTGATACCGCTTTCTAATGTCTAAACAATATGAAAACAGCTATCTGGGCTCCGTCAAGAGGTGATCTATCTGTCTACCAGCGCTTAGGGGCGACTGTGGCTGGGAGGTGGTGGTGGGTTTGATCTCAATTAACCCCAAATGGCTCCCAATGGCATGGCCAACTGTGTGTGAATGTGTGTGAGAGTTAGCTTCATTGAGCAGGTGGCTACTTGTATGGCAGCCCCTGTCTCTGTATTAGTGGGTGTGAATGGATGAATGCTGACTTTGCAAAGCAGTTTGAGGAGTCATTCAGACTGGATAAGCGCTATATGAAAGAAATGCCATTTACCATTGAAGCTTACTAACAAGTTATATCTTCTCTGTTTTATCCAAACTAACACTTAAGTGTAAAAAATGAAAATGTTTTTGGGGAGTTACTGTATACCCTAAACAATTTCTGGCTGGTATTTTAACTTGTGTTGGTGTCACAGCTCATTTCCTGACAGCTGGTCAGGACCAAAAAACAGCCAGGGCCAAGGACCATCATTAATAACCCCACCTAAATGTTATATTAAGGTTTCAACACTGTTTTTGTGGTTTCTACAAACCAAACAAAGATAATATACGTCGAGCTAAGAAACATCTACTTGTAATTGTTTCCTTTGGACAGAGCCGTGCTTGCTGTTTCTCCATGTTTCCAGTATTAATGCTATCCCAAATGTTGAAAAATGAATTTAAGAGAAAACCCCTTAATTCTCTGTGTCCGCACACCTTCACCACATCTCTCTGTGCCTCCATTGCTCCAGTGTGAAGATGGTGATGCTGTGGACGGCCGGCGACGTCTTCAAGACCCTCTACTTCGTGATGAACGAGAGCCCGGCTCAGTTCTGGGTGTGCAGTTCGGTCCAGATCCTGATCGACGTGGCCATCCTGCTGCAGGTCATTTTTTACAGCCAAGACACACGGGTCAAACTTGGCTGAGCACGACGGCGACTCAAGGCAGCGGAGAAACCAGGGCACGTGTTTACATTTTTAAAATGTTGATATTTGATGTCTTTTTAATAAAACAATAGGTGCCACGTCGATGGAATTATCATGCTGGATATTTAGCATCAAGAAGTCAATATAGATTATTTTTTGTTTTCTATAATGATTTTCCTTGAATCAGTGTACTTTATCAAAAGGGAATCATGTAGACCCAATTTACCTTCAACTGCAATTAGGTAAACCAGTTTAACCTTGATCAAACTACTTTTAGCCAAGCACAATGAACCACACCTTTGCCTTTACATTTTTAAGATAATGCAGTATTGTTGTGCATTTGTTTGCACTTGTTATACTATTTATTTGTTCTCTGTTGAACATGTTCTATATCCTCAAGTGTAATGGACATGGAAACTGTGAGAGTGAAACATTATTCACACAGGCAGCTCTGTTCTGCTGTACTGGCAGCTGTAGCAGCCAGTCCTGCACTGGTAACCCTGCACTGGGTTCCACTTCCTGACTGATGAGCCTCCCTCTTTACACTCGACACCTCGATGGACTGTTGTCATGATGCATAGTCTGTCAGGGTGTGACATGCTTGCTGGTGTGTTCATGCAGCCCAAATTGATTTATTCCGTTGGCCAAACCAAGGCTGCAGAATGTACACAAAATAATGTTAACTAAGCAAGACATCAATCTGGTGCTTTGTGGTTTAATTGACAAGCAATGCAGCTGTTTCTCCAAAGTATGGGAAGAAAAATGAACTACAGAAATGCTGCCATACAAATGTTGCTGTAATGCTTTGATTCGTAACTCAGAAACTACATATTTTGTAGATACCAAAGAACTCATACCTCAGATCCAAATATTTAAGGTAAAGTAACCATATTTGTGGCATTGTAATATCTAACATGTCATCGCCCTAATGTTTTTAGTGTCCCATCATCTGCTGATTCTTTCGCTCTTTAAAAATACTCTTATTCTTTGAGACTCTGAAACTGTGAAAAGATGACTCATGATGACAACTCCTATTCCCTACTGTCATAATTTGTTTTGTACTACAAGAAAGATACCTGTAGGGACTTTATGAAAATGATTAGGTCAGGGAGGAGGTGCTACATCTTGTGTTTGACTTTCAAAAAACACAAGAACCTCCTAGGAAGTAAAACTGGAAATTGCCAAATGTATAAATCAACTATCTTTTTTTTAAGGGCTGGTAATGACTAACTTGTTACTGTTGCCAGTGTGCCAATGAGCGACCTTGGCAGAGCTGCAAACTCTGTAGTACTCAACCAAGACTTAAAACAATTAAGGAAAATACATTAAATGCCATTGTAACTTATGTATGACATCAGTTGTGTGTCCCCATTGCACATCACCTAACCAACACAATGCCTGAGTTGCATTGCACTGATGTAGCTAATTATTAAATAACTAACTATACCAAGGGAAGGCTTAAATTCAAGTATACATCCAGGGTGAGAAATATAAAAGATAATTCCATGCCCTACCAGAAAGTCAAACTACCCTTCCCATTAGTCAAAATATGAAATACACTCCCCATTGTATGACCCCCACTTACCCCCAAATAAATCCTGCAGAGTCCCTGAGATGAAAATATTTAGTTTCCCTCTCAAAGCATGTTTAGTCATTCCGAGATTGGCAATCTTTAAAGCTTTCATTTAACTAGAAATTCCCCATTAAACAGAGGACAGCTTATGTAATGCATGCCATTACAGAAAACCAAAAAACCTTAATCATCCATTCCAGCCCTACAAAATGCTAAGAAAAATCATAAATATTTGATTCAGAAGAGCTGATTTTCATTTAAACACCAATTTATAATTATGGTTTCTCAAGGCGAGCTGTAGTTATTTCACGTTTTCCTTCAGTTCCCTCTCAAAAATATTGATGCAGGAGGAAACAAATCTGTACCAGCAGCTGATCAGTAGTCAGTGCACGTTTCTGTTCACCTCCCTCCAAGGCACAATTTAATTAAGTTGTAAGCTTTTTTACCAGCTTATCAATCCTTTGGTCACCTTTTTAACTTAGCAGGCAGTTTGTGTCCATCTGCTAACACCTACATATTCTGTTTGAATTACACACTGCAGTGGTTACCAGACAACCTCCTCCTGTAGCTGCCTGTATGCCATAGAAAACTGTTGTGAAGTTCTATCGCAGTACATTTCCGACATGTCCTCAGGGTCAGCATGTAATAAACAATATCTACATGAGAGAGAATTTTGATACAATGTTGAGTAAGGTTTTCATCGTCTGACAAGTCTTCTAAATATAACAGTGATTGAGTTAGTATCATGATGCTTTGATATTACACTGGGTTTATGAGGTCTTGATTTTCAATCAGTTTATGGGAATTGCGCTTTTTCAGGCACTGGTTAGCTTAGCATAAGGTCTGGAAAAGGTTCCAGGCTCTGTCGAAAACATTTTAAAAGCACCTTCACAAAGTTACTGTTCCCTGACAGGATATAAATCGGCACAAAACCCCCCCTGTAGATTTGCTTTTTTTTTTTTTTGTAGGTGCTTGTATGCTTGTTATGTTACTGTTGGACAGAGCCAGGTTAGCTCTTTTGCTTTATTATGCTAAGATAAGCTAACTGACTGCTAGTTCTTGCTACTTCTTTGCCCTACACATGTAAGAGTTGTATTTTTCTTCTTATCTAACTTTCAGAAGCAAAGTGAGTATTAATACGGTAAAATCAATCATTGTAAGGCATTTAATGTTACTGGCCACAGGATCATCTACTGTAAGATCATCTAAAAAGAGGAGCACTCCCTTCTGTGATGGTGTATCATCCAGATTTTTGTGTACATTTGAAAACAACCCTTACTTATTGGGGATGTTATAATATGTTGGTCTTATGTGTCGATGGATGCACCTCAATCAGTGTTTTTCTGTTGGTGCTTTCAAACATGTCAAATATTTGTAGGATCTGTCTAAATGAAATGTATTTGATCCAGGTAATAGATTTTAGCTGCGTGACCTTCCATTGTGGGTAAACATGCATTCTTCAACTCTGTTTATCTTCTATTACATCTGTATAGAAAGCTTTATGTGTCTTATCTCCTATACCCAGCCTACCACAGTTGTATTAAAACTGCATTATGTCTGTATTCTCTTAGCTCTTATCACCAGATGTGTATCTTAATGTTGTCCCTCTCTCAGAGCCTCAGAACTGCCCCCTCCTAGGATTTAGTTTAACATTTGGGCTCCCCATGGCATTTCCCTCTCAAGGACATTGTGATAGATTACCAGACTGCCCTGCTGTGGTAATCCCACCACCAAACTCACATTATGGTTCACGTTTGTGTGTCCTTACCATTGGAACACTGTTAAGAAATTGGTGTTTTGTTGTTTTCTGAGGTGGGAGAGACTGTTACTTCTACCAGATGCAATATATATTTTTCATTTAACATGAAACAGTTTGTGAATTATCCGTCACGTAAAAAAAAAAAGTCCATTGAATGATTTTTGTGAATTTTAGTTACTTTTTTTCTGTGATGTCTTACTTTTCTTTTACAGGAAACCAAAAGTACAACCAAAAAGTCATGGTTCCCTTTTAATGTATTTAAAAGTGTATCAGAGATCATTTAAATGTTATATAACATTATGATGGTAATACGATGTACAAGGTCTGGTGCTATCACACATTTAAATTGTATGTAAGTGAAATATTTATTATGATATTTTCTCAAATATAATGTATATTTCACAAAATGGTTTTGGTGTTGTTACTGTCTCCTGTGGATCCTTCAAACCTTTTTTATAAGATAAGGTCATACAATCTGTGATATAAATGTTGTGTGGCCTCCAGAGTCCACTTCTTTCCTTTTCTTGTGATTTCCTCACCAAATAAAAGGATAAAAGAGGTATATAAAACAGTCCAGATGATGCTTGGATAAAGACATGGTCAGGGGATTTCAGAGACGATATACAGCCCCTGTGTCTTTAGCCCTGAGCCGCACCGGCCAATATGTGACATGAAGATGATGAGCAGACTTGCAATTTAGTGACTGGATGAAAGATGAAAAGAATGTTATATAAGTGACGTGTGTGTTTAAATGTGGGAAATTAACTAAAGCAATGACCAGAACAGATAACTGTTTTACACAATGTTGTGAAAATTAACAATCCTAAACAAATGGGGCGAAGCCTGCGAGCTAGTTCAGGCAGTCAACTCGAGCACCAATGATACATGAACACGTGACGCACCTCGTCCCTCTTACAACCAACCAAACACATTCTCCTAAACATGCCACTCTATTTAAGCTGCCAGGTCTTCCTGCCTCTGCCTCGCTATGCTGCTGCTGCCACTGCTGTGTTCACGTGCTATTGCTACGTTCATGCTCCTGCTGCTGTGTTTCATGTTGCTGCTGCTTGCCTGTCCCCCCCACCACCCCAGCTTCCACCTGTAGGCTCGGGGGATAGTTATCTAATCATCACTCAATGTTCTTTGTAAATCTGTGGAGTGATGAGGCCCGAGCCTAGACGCCAAACTCAAACTATATGCTGCTTATAATAAACATATTAAGAAACACGTGAGTTGTCTGACTGAAATACAAATAAAGTCAAATAGTGACATTTACATAAAAATGTTTTTTTAAACAGTCGTATGCACTTTCAACCATAACAATGGGACACAGTTAATTGCCTTTGCCATGTAGTGACGTTTTAAATATGACAGTTATGAGAAGGTAGCAAGACAAATATACATATTAATATTGTCGCGATGATTTCAAACACAAATATTCGTCCTAATTTGCATTTATTTTGCCTGTGGAAAGAGTATAACAAAATATATGTCCCAAAAATGTCTTCAAAAAGATAAGCTGCTGCTTTAAGGATTTCTAAGCCTCATGAACTTTTCATTTGAACTAAATCAACCAGGGATATAGGCTTGAGGTCCTGTAAGGATGCAACTGCTTGATTATGCCTGTACATCAGGGGTGTCAAACTCAAGGCCCGGGGGCCAAATCCGGCCCGCGACTTCATTTTATGTGGCCCCACAAGAGCTTGCAAAGAATATATTATGTTTATTATACGGTTACATGCTACTTTACAGAAGCACGTTGCCCATAAACGACATGTCCCACAATGCATCTCAAATTTGACTTTTTCTCAGAATTTGACTTTTTTTGTCCAAATATGCCTTTTTTCTTAGAATTAGCCTTTTTCTCATAAATAGATTTTTTTTTCAAAATGTCACAATCAATGTTTTTCCAGAATGTGGCTTTTCTTTTAAAATCATATTGTGACATTCTTACTGAAGAGACTTGCAATTATTTGCTCTAGACTTCTGCTTTCAGACGTAGTTAATTATGAAGTTATATTAATTAATGATATAGTCTTAAAGTTACAACTGACCCTTTGAGTGCAACCATAATGCTGATGTGGCCCGTGATGAAATTGAGTTTGACACCCCTGCTGTACATCAATTGTGTACAACATTTCCCACTGCAGCTATCATCCAGAGCTGTGACACAGTGCGCCTGCTGTCCTGGGAGAACCTTGACTTCCTCTACTTGAATAGATTGAGTCTACCTACGGATAAATCAAGAAAAGAAAAGTCTGACTTTGCTGGACACACAAGGGGGAAAATGATGAGTGGGGGATAATTTAGACGTGCTGCTTATAGGTAACACATCATCACAGGGAGCAGAGCAAAGCTGCACTGCAGTGAGGAAAGTTAAATATTAAAATGGATGCAGTAGATAATGTGAGGCTCCCATGGTTTATAGATGTGTTGGATAAGGACAGACTGTGTGCTGCACCTGTTGGTGGCTTCACTAGACCTGGCGTGAACATCCATTAGTAATAAGGCGACTGATGTACCTGACCTGTATCACACGGTGATCACTGTTCTGTTCTGCCCACAAAGACAGGACTTCTCCTTGTGATATATATTCTGGATATTTCACAGTGAATGTTCATAATGGTGCTTCCTGGCTGCCTGCCATGGCCTACCTTCCCTTCTCTCGCTCCACCCATCCATCAGTGCTGCGCCGAGATGTCCGTCCATACAGTGGCTTGTTTTAATGATTGATGAGGTGAGCTAAAATAGTCCACCTGCACTTTGGCTCTGTGATGTGCCGCACTCTCCCGCCACGCTCCATGTATTAATAAGAGAGTGTCGTCATGCAGTTCAAGTGAGTCATGCTCACTTTTTCACTGTTCCAGTATTAGTTTATAACAAACAAATATTCAGCAGACTTTGTGTACTATTGTTGACCTGCTCTATGATGGTTCTTTGCGATCCGAAAAATATTGTGTGCAGCGGTTTGGTTTCATGAGAGTTAAAAAAAATACTGTATGGTTGAGCAAAG